CGCCGCCGCCGCCGCCGCCGCCACGAAGGATAAAATAATTTTTTAAAAGATAATAATCTCTCACAGGTGATTCTCAGTTTTGCCAAGCTGGCTGGCCTTGAACTTTCTATGTTGTCAAGGACCACCTTAAAGTCAAATCCTCCTGCCTCCACCTCCTGAATGCTCAGACTTCAGGCATCTGTCACCATACCCTCACTCTGCATGTCTTCATCAGACACCTGCTGTGTTTTGTCTACCATTCGCCTGCTGTGACATGTGCACATTTTTGTTTAAGCACCTATGCTCAGTTTTGGTGTGGACCAAGGCCTTGAATTGCTGGGTCTGTAGTGTGACCCTTTAATTTGCTTCCTTCTGAATTGAGGGACTTGGTTCTTTTGCTTGGGGGGCGCTGGCAAAGTTTAATTTTGTGTCCAAAGCATCACAGATTTCAGTTATTTATACACATGTGCACTAGGCAGCCAGCTCAGGCAGTGAAGTTCTCGCTGCCAGCACAAGGACTTGAATTTGGTCCTTAGCACCCATGCAGAAAAGCTGGTCGTTATGGTGTGGACATGTACCTCTAACTCCGGAGCTGCAGAGGTGGCAGAGCTCTGGGATCTGTGGGCCAACAGGTCCAGCTAAATCAGAGTCCAGGTCGTAAGGGTCTCAAACAACAAGGTGGACGGCTGGCCAGATGGCTCAGTGTGTAAAGGTGATTTCTTTCTTTTTCTCTTTCATACAAGAAAGCATTTGCCGGGCTGTGGTGGCACACGTGTTTAATCCCAGCACTCCAGAGGCAGAGGCAGGCCGATCTCTGTGAGTTTGAGGCCAGCCTGGTCTACAAAGCGAGATCCAGGAAAGGCACAGAGCTACACAGAGAAACCCTGTGTCAAAAAAACAAAAAAAAAAAGAAAGCATTTAATTGAGGCTTGCTTATCGTTCCAGAGGTTCAGTCCATTATCATCATGGCAGCGAGCATGGCAACATGCAGGCAGACAGGGTTCTGGAGAAGTTGCTGGGAGTTCGTTCTACATCCAGATCCTCGGCAGCAGGGAGAGTGAGAGCCACTAAGACTGACTTGGGCTTTTGGTTGTATTTTTTTTTCTTTCTTTTCTTTTCTTTTTTTTTTTTTTTTTGGTTTTTTCAAGACAGGGTTTCTCTGTGTAGCTTTGCGCCTTTCCTGGAACTCACTCTGTAGCCCAGGCTGGCCTCGAACTCACAGAGGTCCACCTGGTTCTGCCTCCCGAGTGCTGGGATTAAAGGCGTGCACCACTGCCGCCCGAAATTTTAATTTTTTTTTTTTTCTTTTTTCCGAGACAGGGTTTCTCTGTGTAGCTTTGTGCCTTTTCCTGGAACTCACTTGGTAGTCCAGGCTGGCCTCGAACTCACAGAGATCCGCCTGGCTCTGCCTCTCGAGTACTGGGATTAAGGGCGTGCACCACCACTGCCCAACTTGGAGGCTGAAGGGCCAAGACCCTGGGTTCAAAGCTGGCGTGGGGTCACAGGCTAAAACTGTTTCAGCATAGTAAAGAGTGTTGGGGAACCTAGCCATCTGGAATACCTCCATCAGTCTAGAAAGTTCTTTTGGGAAGCATTGGTCTAGATCTTAAGTTTAACCATTTTCTTAAAAATTTAAAATTTGAACCGGGCGGTGGTGGCGCACACCTTTAACACCAACACTCTGGAGGCAGAGGCAGGTGGATCTCTGTGAGTTCAAGGCCAGCCTGGGCTACAGAATGAGTTCCAGGAAAGGTGCAAAGCTACACAGAGAAATGCTGTCTTGAAAAACAACAACAAAAATAATAATAATAATAATTTAGCTTTTGTGTATACGTGGGTAACATGTGCATGCCTGGTGTCTGCTGAAAGCAGAAGAGATCCCTTGGGACTGGAGTTAGTTCATCAAAACAAAAGAAACAAAAATGCCAGGCGGTGATGGCACACACCTTTAATTCCAGCACTTGGGAGGCAGAGGCAGGCAGATCTCTGAGTTTGAATCCACCCTTGTCTACAGAGTGAATTCCAGAACAGCCAGAGGGCTACACAGAGAAACCCTCTCTCTCTCTCGAAAAAAAATAAAACAACCAAACCAAACAAACAAACAAAAAAAATACGGGAGCCATGTCTTCAGCCCCTCTGTCTCAGTTCCTCCCCCAGGTAAAAAAAGGGCTGGTGAGATGGTTCAGCACTTGCTGCAAAGCCCTGTCTCCGGTGTGCCCTACATCACACACACACACACACACACATACACAATTAATAAAAATAGTTTAAAAGGATTACTCTGACCTCTGGGTTCCGCCCTCAGCACTGCAAACATAAAACAATACCAACTCGAAGCAAAACGCAAAGCCCAGGGGACTCTCGGGCCTTCTGTAGAATCCCTTCTTGTCTCCCAACCGACCTCAGGTTTGTCAGGTCATATACGCGCGTTTTACGCGAGCTGCCTGTCCCTGTTCTCTTTCTCCAGGAGCCTGACACAGGTCTGCCTACCCCAGACCTAATTCTGTTCTCCCCAATCCCTCGCTTCCCGCTGAGGCCAGTCTGGAATTAGAGGATTGTCGACTTTGCTAAATGGGACCAGACAGGGTCAGAGAACCAGCTGTGGGGCGAACTAGGGCGGGATAGCCACTAGGGGGCAGCAGAGACTCTCCAGAGCCTCAGGGAGACGGTATTGAGCTTCCACATCTCTTTATGGATTAGTATTTTTATGGGACTCGTGCAAGAGCGAGAAGGTCTCTGATTCTTGTGCCAGCTCTTAGGAACTCTTCCTCTTATTGGGCTGCAGTGTCCAACTATGATATGATGGGTTTTGCTTCACCTTATTATATATATATTTTGTCATGTTTGGTTTTTCTCTTAGAAGCCTGTTCTTTTCTAGAGACAGAAAGGGAGTAGATTCTGAGGGGAAAGATGGTGTGTAGAACTGGGAGGAGGAGAGGGAGGGGAAACTATAATCAGAATATATTGTACGAGAAAATAATACTACCCCTCTCCCCCCAGACAAAGTTTCACTGCGTAGCCCTGACTATCCTGGAACTTGCTCTGTGGCCGCTTCTAAGTTCTTTAACTATGGACAGTTTCATTACGTAGGCTTGGCTAGCCTGGAATTCAGAGATCCTACCGCTTCGGTCTTCCAGAGAGCTAGGATTAAAGATGTGTGCCACTACATTCAACTTGCCTGGAAAGTTAAAAAAAAAAAAATAAGCTGGGCATGGTGGAGTAATCCCAGCCCTGGGGAGGCAGAGGCAGATGAATCTCTGTAAATTCAAGGTTAGTTGATTTACATAGCTCTCAGACTAGCCAGTAATACATAGTGAGAGCCTGTCTCAAAATAAAAAACAAACAAAAAACAAGCCCAGGTGTGGTAGTGTACGCCTTTAGTCCCAGCCCTCGGAGGCAGAGCAGGTGGGTGTCTCTGAGTTCAAGGCCAGCCTGGTCTACATAGTGAGTTCCAGGACAGAAAGGGCTACACAGAGAGACCTTATTTAAAACAAAAAATTAAAACAAACAAAGCCAAAACAAGCAAGGCAGGTGGTAGCCTTTGATCCCAGCACTTGGGAAGCAGAGGCATAACAAGTTTGAGGCCAGCCTAGGTTACATGAGACCCTTTTTTTTTTTTAAATGTAGGGTCTCACTATGGAGCTTGGATGACCTGAAATTCACTGAGACTTGCCTCCTTTATAATAAGATCTGTTTTTATATGTATATATTTTCTGGTGTGTGTGTGTGTGTGTGTGTGTGTGCATGCATGCAGAGGCCAGAGTAGGATGTTAGTGTGTCCCCCCCACACACACACCATCTCTCTCTCTTTTTTTCTTGTTTTTTTGAGACAGGGTTTCTCTGTGTAGCCCTGGCTGTTCTGGAACTCACTATGTAGACCAGGCTGGCCTTGAACTCACCGAGATCCGCCTGCCTCTGCCTCCTGAGTGCTGGGATTAAAGGCGTGTGCCACCACCACCTGGCTCTCTACTATTCTCACTTGTCTTGAGACAGAGTCACTCGTTGAACCAACCTTCTTGGCTTGGGTGTCGGCCAGTTTTCATCTGCTTTCCTCCCCAGGACTGGGGTTCAGGCACACACAGTCAAGCCCAGCTTTGCATGTGGGTGCTGTGAATTCAAAGTCAGGTCCTCATCCTTGCAGAGCAAGAACTCTTACCCTTGGAGCCACCGCCCCAGTCCCCAGTCCCCGGCTTTAAAGAGGGTTTTATGCTTTTCA